AAATTTTGTTAGTGTTTAAAATATATATATTCCTTAATGTAGAATGTTTTATTACTTTGAACGTAAGTCAAATTTAATACATAAATATTAAGGGGATACAAGTGCATAAAAAATTAAATATAATAAACGTTAATGGAGTTTATTTCTTTTAAAATTCCATACACAGATGTATGTAACTTGTAATAAATTAAAATAACCAAAAAAGACCAACAGTACCTTTATAGTCATCATTATATTTGTTTTCACTTGAAAAAGACATTAGTCCATCTTGAAATTTATCAAAAATTTGATTTCTTTGTAAGCTTACACTTTGTAGTTATAAATCAAGGTCTTTCTGTACATAAGTACATATTTATTTAGATTTTAGTCATTATAGATAATCAAATTATAAATTTTTAAAATAGAATATTTAATAATAATTTGTTTTTAATTACAGCTGCAGCATTTAAGTCATTCCATGTATCCTTTAATTTTTTTTAAGTATTCTGATGTTTATGAATGTAAATTTATTTTAAAAAAAAACAATTTATTATATTGAAACATAATATTTGTTATAAATTTCTTAACAAGTATACAGTGAACAATTACATTCTGCGAGCTCAGAAGTATAATATGTTAATAGACATTCCATTTCTGAAATTTTACATAACAAGTATGACTTTTCTGATTTATCTGAGTTATTTTAATTATAAAATAATTGTAATACTGGGTCAATGCAAAAGTTTGTGGAATTTTCTAGAACTCCATAGAATATTCTAAATTGTTCTCCAATGAATGGTGCCTAAAAGTTTTTTGGGGTACGTAAATGAAAAGTGTTGAGGTGCACAGTCATAAGTGAAAAAATATTCCATGTGGCAATAACTTTTTACATATGTCAAGTTTGCCAATTTTTTTGGTGACCAAATTTGCACATACGTGCTTTACGATTATCATTTTGGTATAAAACCATTGTTATAGGAGATGAAACATGATGTGTGTGTGTGTCAAATTAAAGTATAAAAGATATGGACAGATATCAGTTGAGCAACACAGGACATGCCAAAATCAGAATTGCCTCATTTCAGGGTTATGCTGTGTATTTTGTGGGATGTTCAAGGACCAGTTCGTTGGGAGATGCTTCCATGGAATACTACTACAGTCGACCTTCCTATAACACGGGTTCCTATAGTTTGAATTTCTATATCACGGAGAAAAAATTGCAACAGTATTCGTACAAACACGCTAAAAAAACTCGTATAATTCGGTAAAACGTCATCACCAACTCATGTTGCGACAGGATTGGTCAAATCCAGACCAATAGCGGATATTGTACAAACCGTTGAGTTTAAACGAGCAGTGGACCTACTAAAAACCATTTATTATTTAACGTCCATAAAAATTATATTTATATTGATGATGTCTCCAAAGTTCAGCGAATTTTTCGCAAAAAAATAATTTATCAGGAAGCACACAAGCGCTATTTGATGACAAGCTCCAAGACGAAAACAAGCTTAAGCAATGGCATTGTTGAACGGTGCACACTCAGTAAGTAATCCTACAATTTTTTGTTTATAGCATAGTTTATAAAGATTATTCCCAAAAAATTATACGTGTTTAGGAAATGTTGAATCGAATTAGTCTAGAATCGAATAATTTTATGGAAGAAAATCTTTCAAATAGCCGTAGTCCGTAAACTGCATACATGCCGGGCTGTGATTGGCTCATGTATTCAAGGACTCATAAAACATCAATTTCATAAAGAACAGAATGTATCTACCATATTATAGGGGGTCGACTGTATAACTTCCAAAATCTCCCGTGCTCGGCTGCAATGTTTCACAAATGCTATTCACACCAAGCAGTCATGGATGAATATTGTGCGTTTTCTTTGTGACAATGCAAGACCACATGAGTCAAGGTTAACCTGGCAGAAGCTGTTTTATTTTGGGTGGAAGTTTCTCACTTGTCCCCTGTATACTTTGGACATTGCACTATCCAACTACTGTCTCTTTCATTCTGTGCAACACATTTTGAGTGGAAAGCAGTTCGCTGATGATGAGGAGATGAAAATCACACTTACAGTTGTTTGAGTCAAAACACTCTGAGTTTTATTTGCCAGGAATCTGTGACCTGCCCAATCAAGGGAAGAAGGGAAGAATGTAATGGCAATTATTTTCTTGAATAAACTATTTTTTGTTTTTGAAATAAATGTATTAGGAAACTCTAGAAAATTTCAGAAATTTTTGCATCAACCCAATATAATTTAAGAGAGATTTTAATTGTAATTATTGTACATTAATTCTTATTAATATTAAAAATATAATTAATAACATTTTGATTATATATTTTTGATTTGAAGATCTTTAAAATTTAATTTGACTTTCTCAAATTAAATTTTAAAGAATTTAATTAATTGACTCTCATTACACAGGGTTGTTCAGAAGTAATGCATCAGAAGATGCTTTCATACAACACATATCTATATACTTTATTGAACACTGTCAAGGAGAACATTTACATTGGAAATTGTTGTAACATGCAATTCTCAAGGTTTACATTACAGTTAATTGGTATTAATTAATGTGTAACTTAGAAAACGACAATATTTAAGTATTTATTATGGTACAGCACATAATCTATTATTAATTTGTNTTAATAATAAATAAAAAGCAATTTAGTTGAAAGATAGATAGTTAGGTTACCATTTATACTAAATTTAATAGTTATATTAGTTGTGAATTAAATTTTAGAATATTCTGGGAAAAAATGTTGATCAGTATTGGGATTCCAATATAATTAATAATAATTAAGCTTGCTTGAATATCTTCAATCTTCAGCTTAGTTGAATCTTCAGCTTGCTGAATAGATGCACTACCAGTTATGTTATCTGAACCTTCATCTGATCTTTGCTTCCAGATTAGTTAAATTAAATTATTAAATTTTGTGCGAGGAGGTATTGTGACCACCTATCCTTAAACCAAATTGATCTGTATTGATTACTAACAGCAGTCTAGTTCTAGGCAAGATTTAATGTGGCACTTAATGATTTAATAAGTATAGAGTTTATGCTTGATTGTTTATATACACGTTTATTAATTATTCATTTTTTATTTTTGGTTACAGGTAGAGAGAAGGAAAAATCAAAATTTTTGCCGACTTACCTTGCCAAAGACGGTTTTTAACTCCAAATCTTTCCAGACTTCAGTTGAAGTCAAAAACAAAAATGTGATGATTAAAAGAATCATTTTTAATATTAATTAACTCATTCCAAAGACTTTTTAGTCAATCTACCTCTAGACAGAATTTGAAAGCAAAAAGTTTTTATTTATAAAAAAAAAATACAATAATTTTGATTACATATAATAGAAGCTAGAATAAAACCTTACTTGTTTAGAATAGACAATGAGGTAAGCCAAATTTTGTAATATTGAATTGTCATCATTTATGTTTTTTTTTCTGTCATAAAACTCATTTATCTTTGTGCATAATATATTAAAAATGTAATCATAAAACTCTGCATCTGATTATATTTTTAATGTATTATTAAAAATTCTCAGTGAAATTTTGACAGAACTGTATAAATTCAATTTTACAGTCGAGACGAATATCACGGTCTTCCACATTTTATTTCTGTCCACAGTAAATCGTTTCCACTTTCCTATTATTTGATTATCAGTATTAATTACAATGTGATAAAGTTCTGTTATATGATTATAGTTCAATTTTTGTTATTTCTTTATTTGTTACACATGAATGATTTGTAAAATGCCAGCTAAATTTTTGAAATGTATACACCGGATGGGTTTTATACCAATATGTAAGCTTTATAATGATCTATTATATCTTCTGTTGTTTTTAAAAGAAAAACTATTTGATAAGGAGTGTATTTTTGAGAATTTTTTTTGTACTTATCTATTAACATTCCAAAAAAATTTTGTATATTTTATTTAGTATCTTCTAATTGATTTTTAATGAAATTAAATTTTTGCTTGAATTTATGCAGGTGTTTTGTAATTGAATTTATATTTACTACACCATGTTCTCTATGCAAGTGGTGCCCAAACTATGGTTCCAAGCCAAATCTGGCCAGCAAACACATTTGATACACCACTTATAAATGATAGAAGTGGGCCTGATTTTTGTGTATGGAATATTCAAAATAATATTGGTCTTGCTACATGTGACTTGTGCGTAATTTGGTCCACCAGTCAAAAAGTTTGGACACCACTGCTCTTATCATATAGTGTTATCACATAACTACCTCTTCAATTATCTACTATGCATTAGCACACCTCATAACTATAATTATAACTCTTTAAAATTTTTTGGTAAATGTTTCGGTTATGAATTTTTGGATGTAACACTTAAACATTAAAAACAATCAAGAAAAGTGCAGTAAATTAGTCTGACGAGTTTAACATTGCTCATCTACATCAATTGCCTTACATCCAATGATAGTATGCAATAGTATTACATACTGATGTCTTATACGTAGATGAAATGGCCATTTTTTAAAATTTTGATTAGTTTTTGATACTTAAATTTTTAATGGAAATATTAAGTTAATGAAAAATATAGATTAAAGAAGAAAAAAATTTGATCATCTGAATATATTCATTAATTTTAACACATAATACATTTTAAATAGTAATTGTAAGAAGATATGAAACAGAATTTGAGGACAATAATGATTTATGTAAAATAATAATGCTGTAATAGCAAAATAATTATTGAAGGGTGGTCAAACCATGTTGCAATGAGTCATATATTGCATATCAGAAATATGAGCCACTACATTCCTTATTTGAACAGTATTTTATATATATAATCAAAATACTATAATAAATATCACTTATGTTAAGAATATGCGTATTTTGGGTACATATGTAAGAAAGGCTACCTAAAATACTTTGAGAAAATAATTTTGTGTATTATAAATTAATTTCATTTCTTTTTATCTAAATACATATTAACATTTCTCTCATTATAGCTTTGTGAGTTATAGTTGGGACGCTTAATCGTTTAAAATTTATACATACCCTTTAGCTTTCAGTTGCCTGTTTAAGTTGTGAGTTACAATTACAATTTGTGCTTATATCACACTACATAACAGTCGACAAACGTAAAATCATTACATGTGTGTAAGCAGCATGTTTCCAATTTATGAGAAGTAATTGCATAAATGTCGGGAGCTGCTATAAGGATCTAGAAGAGCTGCAGTTTGACTGCCATGGTTTGTTGTATAATAACTGATTGATAGTTTTTGCTTTATTGCTGCAATTCTAATTAGTGTTATTTTAATTTTAAAATGTTTTTAAACTCAAAAAATAATATATCTGTGCATCATGTTTTTTTTATATTAATTAAGATTTATGTACATACAGTAGACTCAATAACTTGTCCTCAATAATATTTTCAATTTGCATTTAAAGGATAAGATTGTCCTAAAGTAACAATCTTATCCTTACGTGCAAATTAACCAATCAAATCTTAACATTAAAAAAACATTTTTCTTCTTAATTTTTAAATTTTGAATATTTCAAAATGTAATGAACACATTTGTGATTTAACTATTGTTGGGTCAATTAAATTTACAAGTTCATTCATATGTATCTTTTTATTTGAAACTAAACATTCATAAATATCACTTTTGGTAGCTGTTATTATGATCTATGTATGTATGTCTCTTTAATCCAACATTAAGTTTGGTAGACTATCATTACAGCTTTCAGGTTAGACACTTCTTTTATTGTTTCCAAATATGTATTTTGGACTTATATAAATGTTAAGTCCCTCTTCAGTGCAATATTACAAATTATTAAAAAACACAATTAGTAACATGACAAAATTCTTCGCGCGTAGATCATATTTACTGACATAAAACTATCATACTTAAAAATTGTCACACTTATACAATACCTATGGTTCTGTCTTCTAAAACCACGGTGTATAACGGGTAACATTCGGAAGATTTTAAAATACAGCCATTAAAAACACCACAAATACATTTTCCAACATTAATATGGAAAACCTAATATATTAATAATATTATAATTTTTTACTTTATAACATCATATATCTTAATAAAATATCAATATAACACGATACTCACTTTTAACATGTGCTCATAAAATCTTATATAAGTACAACTTTAAAGAATATGTATGTTCTACAATATAACGTTGGCAGTAACTGCAATTATAATTGTTTTACAGATTAATTATATGTAGCATAGTAATATTAAAAACATTTTTAAGAGAATACGTGCACAATTTTACAATATATTTCCAATTATTTTCTGTCACAACATGATGATAAATACATTATAATCAAGTCATAAGTCCGAAATACATATGTGGAAACAATAAAAGAAGTGTCTAACTTGAAAGCTGCAATGATAGTCTACCAAACTTAATGTCGGATTAAAGAGAGATACATACATAAACATTCATACTTCGCAGATTTTAATGTAAAATTTGAATCATATGTTGACATTTTCACTCCAACAGTGATCAGTTAATCAGTATACTGATCATTTTTATTTTAATAGAAATGGTAGACAATAGAAAAGTAAAGGTTTTTGTTCATAGCTGAAAAAAA